ATATATATATATATATATATATATATACATATACATATACATATACATATACATATATATATATATATAGTTATATAGTTATATATATATATAATCAGGTTTATTGCCAAGTAGGTTTTCACATACAAGAAATCTTCCTCGGTATATTGGTGCATAACAATAAACACAATATTAGACAATAAAAAGAGACATGTACAAAAAAAAGATCAGAGCATCTTTATGATGTTTCTCTCACTGAATCTAAAATCTGTTTCATGTCAGCGTGTATTTTAGACTCAAACTGCATCAATCTTTTCTCTAGTCTGAACGTTTTAACTCTCCTCCTGTGTGTGTGTTTCAGGCTGTGTGGTGTGTTTCCTCCCGGGGTCGGGCAGGTCCGGGATGCGGTGCATTGTTGTTATGTCCCCCCTCCAATATTGCACTCGTCCCGGCCTCCCCGGCCCAGGGGCCACGACCCCCCCACATACCTCCAGACAGCAGAAGAGAAACGCTGCTGGAGCTCAGAGACGAGGTGAAGACTTTCTGAAAGACTCAGAGTTTCGACTCTTTTTAAGAAATAATTTTCCAGGAGCTGTAATGACAGTAAAAGACAGCTCTCACTCACAAACAGCGGCTGTGTAACATTAACTTGGCTACAGCTCATGAGTTACAGTTCAAATTAAGTAGAATTGATTTATTTTTTACCGAAAATTTTTCTTTTAGAAACTGAAAGTGTTTGTTGCACATGCAATTAATATCACTGTGAATGTATTTATCACCAACAGCAAATGTAAATTTGATCATTAGCAGCCTGTATGTACGTCAATATTTACACTGAGATTCTCTCAAAAATAATTCTTAATTTTTTTTTAAACAATTTAAGACCTAAAATTCAGATTATTGGATACATTTTTTGACTTTTTAAGAACCCACAGACTTTAACTAGGGATGCACAATATGGATTTGTTTAATGCCGATACCGATACTGATAACTGCTAATTTAACATTTCTGTATTTTAAAAATAAGTTCATAAGTTCTTACACAGAGAGAGGCTGAAATACGGACACAGGGCAGAGGTTAGCGCTATAGATACAGGGCAGAGATTAGCGCTATAGATACAGGGCAGAGGTTAGCGCTATAGATACAGGGCAGAGGTTAGCATTATAGATACAGGGCAGAGGTTAGCATTATAGATACAGGGCAGAGGTTTATGCTCAGGTGTCAATCAGGTGATGATTTCATGGCAAAACAACAAAATGTATCGCCACAGACTGATGAAAACTCCAGAATATATCGCATTCATTCATCAATCAATTCTCTAAGAGTTCATTAAAGTGTGCGTAATGTGTAAAGAAAACACCAAAAATGATCACTAAATCATATCGGTACACATTCTAACACGCTAAACTATAACTTCCACGATGGAGTCAGATGAGTTTAAGGGGAAATGACGATAAAACAAACCACAATTTTAGGAAAATGGGCCTTTATTGGGAGAAAGATATGTACATTTGAAAATACACAGGAACATGTAAAAGAACTTTTGATCTGTCTGTACCATTAGCTTATCGCTTTTCAGCAGTCGGCCTGTTATCTGAGTTTTATTCCACAATGAAACATCAGACCGGATCCTCTTTCAGCTCCTTTAATGGACGTACAGTATTTTGGAAACGAACTCTTCCGTGAATTTGTCTTTTTAAACGTCACTGATAAACATGAACATTAACTGAAGAGCTCATGTTTGTCTGGAGAAACACGACAGAACGCCTGCAGCCTGGAGTGAGATTTTTAAAGGTGCGTTCAGGAGCTTTTTGGTCAGTGTTTCTCCAGACTGTTGCTCTGACACCTGAACTCCACCTTTCATTCAACACACACTCATTCCAAATGCACACACACTCAGACTACAGTTAAAGTTCGTCTTCCTCTCAGACCTGAATGTGCATCAGAACCTGTTTACGATGAGACTGGAAGTCTTCGGGGACTGTGTCTGAAATAAAAACACACAAAGGAATTCATTAATCAACGTTTGCTGACAACGGAGTGTTTTTTCTGCTGTGTGTTCGGGGTTAGAGGTCGTACCATTGCATCTGTAGCGCAGGTTGGACCAGATGATGTTTTCCTGAGAAAAACAGAAGACACCAAGCCTGCCTCCTCTCATCGTGGTGTCGATCACAACACCGGAGTCCGCCACCATGTCTGTCCCCTCAAACAGCTTCACCCTGAAACACAGAATCACAGGGACACGGCGGGTTACAAACCAAACGCACCAGGACACAACAGGTTGGAAACTAAATGCTACCTTAAAAAACAAACGTAAAAAAAAAGTAATATGGTAATGATTTCAAGACCACTGTGGTTACTTGTGGAATTGATTTGGCGACCACTGTGGTTACTGATAAAGTTGACTTGGCGACCACTGTGGTTACTGGTGAGGTTGATTTGGTGACCACTGTGGTTGCTGATGAGGTTGATTTGGTGACCACTGTGGTTACTGGTAGAGTTGATTTGGCGACCACTGTGGTAACTGGTAGAGTTGACTTGGCGACCATTGTGGTTACTGGTAGAGTTAATTTGGGAGTATTTTGTGTTGTTTTTGGTTTTAAGGCTGAGCTGCTGATGTCCTTGTTAGTTTTCATTATGTTTATTTATTCTGCATCAAGTTTTAGTCGACTAGAAGTTTGGGCATTTTAATTTCAGTCTAAGAACACGTAACTATTTTAGTCAATGAAAACGGATATTTTAGTATTTTGTACGTCAATCTAGTCAAAACCAATTTTTTATCATTTTTATTTATGACAGCATTATCTTGATGTCGATGTGTAGTGTAACATTTTATAATGTTAAAATAAACTTAAACAAACTCTGAGACCTCAATCATACCTGCTATTTCTGATAATGATACAGAAAGATCTGTGACAATATCAGATCAATAATATCATCAATACAATGTTGGTAAATATCAAGAGGTCATTTCCTAAACACTTAAAAAATATCCAAAGTTAAGATAAAACCGAAGGGACGAGAGAGCACAGACAGACAGAGAGAGAGAGAGAGGGGAGAAAGGAGGACGAACGACCTCAGCCTCTGTACTCTCTCTCTCTTCAGCTCCCTGAATAGACTTTCTCCTCCTCCTCCTTTGTTTCTTTCTCTCCTGACCGACTGAAGAATGTGAGTCCGGACTTTTAAAATCTGCAGTTTCCAAAAACTTTTAACTTCAACAGGAACTCTTTAGTTTGAAACAAACGACAAGGAATGATCCTTTAAATCCTTCTGTCTGATATTTAATAAAAACAGAAACAGAGATCATATTTAAACATTACAGAGCATACAGAGATTGATTCATCTCCATTAAAGTTTAACAGAAAAGAGGCACTAAGAACTCAGACTGTAGTGTTTTATGTGAAAAACTTTTCCAGTGTGTTTCTCTCGTCTCTCCGTCTGATCTGCATATCAACGGTTGCCGAGGCGGATTCTTGCCAGGGCTTTGGTTGTCATGGAGATGAATACAATAGAGTACCGGGGGGCCCCAGAGCCACAAAGAAGTTTCAGGGGGGAAAGAATGCAGTAAAAAGTAAAGAGAGGAAGAGACGGAAAACAGACACAGTACTGCACTGTACTGCAGTATCAATAGTACGCTGTACAGCAGTATCTATAGCACACTGTACTACAGTATCTATAGTACGCTGTACTGCAGTATCTATAGTACACTGTACAGCAGTATCTATAGTACTACAGTATCTATAGTACGCTGTACTGCAGTATCTATAGCACACTATACTGCAGTATCTATAGCACACTGTACTGCAGTATCTATAGTACACTAGTGTACAGCAGTATCTATAGTACACTGTACAGAAGTATCTATAGCACACTGTACTGCAGTATCTATAGTATGCTGTACATCAGTATCTATAGTACTACAGTATACTATAGTATGCTGTACTGCAGTATCTATAGTACGCTGTACAGCAGTATCTATAGTATTACAGTATTTATAGTACTCTGTACTGCAGTATCTATAGTACGCTGTACTGCAGTATCTATAGTATTACAGTATTTATAGTACTCTGTACTGCAGTATCTATAGTA